AACTAAGACATTTTCCTAATAATAAAAGAACTAGTAGGCTCTCAGAAGCACAAATGATAGAGCCCCAAGAGCTATTTTTCAGCTGCTCACCGGAGAACATCGTGATGAAGAAATCTGAACTGAAGAAGAAAATAACCTTCATTTTTCCAAGAAATGAAGATCTTCGCAGGAATGTAAAATGCGTGTTAAAGCAGAGTATCTTGATGCTTCTTACAGCAGGGCCTCTTTCAAGGACAAAGGCGTAATTCAAAAATTGAGACCAGAAAAAGAGAAGTCTTTTCCTCTATCCTTATGAATATGACGGTGACCTTACCGAGCCCCTTGGCAACCCAGCCAGTGACAACCAGCTTCTCTGCAGGGCTGCTCGCAGCTGCAGCCTGGATTGCAAAAGATGAAGAAGGGTCCCCTGTGCTGCATAGGAAAGTTTTAGGAGACGAAGTTTGGATTCTGGCAGTGTACATTTCAGTGAAAGATGTAAAAGGTAAAGAAGATGAAATAAAACAATCTAACCCTCAAAGTGTAGTCACAGGGAAATTCAAATGCCTTTGACATATATTTGCTTAAAAAAAAAAAAAGATTAATGCTGGGGAGCTGAACATGAAGTGGTTGCATTTTTATTTCAGATACATCGACATTACCAACTGCTATCTATAGCAGTGTATATACTGTATATGAATACATACTGATAAGCTTAATAGGAAATGCCAGGTGGATCATGTGAGTAAAAAGGACAGACTGGTATAAAAAGAGAAGTTATTTTGCTATTTTGATCCCAAACCTGCAAGGTATTCTGGTACTTGTTGAACTATCACTTCTTGTATCTACTGTTTGAGCAATCTAATTGCTGGGGTTTATTCTCACATCGACAGGTATGATTTAATATTGACTGATTTGTTCTGATTACATAGTCATCCTAACCTCACATTAAAGTCAGAATTATGTAAAAAGGATATTCCGAGGGTTTTTCCTAATGGTATGATTGTCCACAGATTTCTCGAGGTGCTCATCATGCAAGTCCATCTGATCTCCACAGGACAACAGCGTAAGACACGAGCAGTAAAAGGGAAATGGTAAGTGCAGTTGCTGCGGTCGGCTTGGGAACGATGGACACGTTGTGCTGCACAGGGCCCCAGGGCTCAGACACGCACGAGCCCCTGCTCAGGAAACCCAGTCTGGTTTGTTCTAGTGAAAACAGACCAAAGAGAAGTAATCGGCCTAGAAAGCTATGTCTCAAATTCTTTGATCAGTCATCTTTTAACAGCCATGTCAAAGATCTGGAAAAAACATTCCTGCAGCACCGGGAAGTGAAGAGCTGTAACTGACATCTGAAGGCCTGCAGAGAGACAACGCTGCTCCTGTCTGGGGCTGAGTTACGACTGAAGGAGACCTGACAGGTGGAAGAGAATAAGCAGAGTAATAAACGACCATGGCAGAGATAAACCAACCCTCTTCCTTAAGGAGAAACTGCCCGTGGCTACTCAGAGAGGCTAGAGTAATAAATTTTAAGGTCTGAAGAGATCATGACAAGTCATCAGCCCAAGCGGCCAGTCCTACAGGACACTCAATGTCATGAAGCCAGCCCGTCCTGCCCCTTCCTGCTCAACAGGGCAGCACCGCTCACGAGCTCCCGTGTCCCCACTCCGGGTCGGGAACCAAACACCACACTGGGATTGTTACCGCCATGCCAGACCTCTGCAACACCGCCCTGAGGCATTGCGGCCGCTCAGGAAGGGCAGCCAGTGCCAAATATTTCCTCAGGAGTGTTTCTGGCAAACTGAGTCCTTACACGCAGCTCACTGCTCATGTTCTGTGTCAGCCCTAGCCTGACTTAGCTCTGCAGATCCGCGCTCACATTCAAACATCTGCCGGGCAAACCCTGGGCGCCTTCACGGTGCTTCTGCGCAGGGTGTCCCAGCCCCACACCGAAGCAGCGCATCTTGCACAGAGATGGCATTAGCCATCCCAGTTCGGCACACAGTGATCCGAGCATGGCTCTATCCGGTTCGTGTCTCGTCCCTCCTGGGAACCACAGCACCTCTCCCAGTGCTACAGTGTTACACAGTCATGGAAGCCACACGGGTAGGGCAGAAATGCTGGGACAGGCTTCTCCTGAAGCCCCTCGTCCATCCCTGAGCACATCCCCTCCGGGATAAAAGCCGGTCATAGTGCGGAGCCCTGGGAGCGAGCCTGGCTCCCAAGCACTGGGATCCCGAGCTCAGGGCTCCTGCCCGGCACCAGCTCGGTGCATTCAGGGGAAACAGGTGGAAGCGCTCGTGGCTCTTTGGCATGGGAAGGAGCCGGCCGCAACTCGTCATCAGTTTGTTCATGGGCCTAATTCTTAGCACTTTACACCATTATGTTTATGTCCAAAGCGATTCCCAGGCCAAACCTGGCACCAAGCAGAACAGTGAGTGCCAGCTCTAGGTCCACCCCTGGGAATGCTGGAGCAATGGTTCCATCCTCAGCTTTTTTTTTTCTTTCCTGTATTTTTCCCTTTTTATCATAGCACTGAGAACATCCTTCTGCATAGCTCACTAGAGCCTTTCGCTGGATTCTAGGGAGCTTCTGACCACACTAGAACTTACAACATTTTACTTTGAAGCAGAGGCACTTTTTTTTCCTCAGCTTTAGACCAAAATATAAGGATTTTCAGTTCCTTTGCCTTTTCACTTTCAAAACACTCTGCTAGGTAAACAAGCTTAAGATGATGCACTGGAGCGCTAGGAAGAACCTCAGTTGCTCAGGTCCTTTGAAATCGTAGTTTTCTGGTGCTGTAAAAAAAGAGTTAAATCATGTCTCCACTGTGGAGCTTTTTTTTTTTCTTTTTTCTTTTAATGACAGGAAAAAAAATTCCTTTCATTCTTTGCCAGTAATTTCCATGGAAATACAGTTTCCAGCAAAAATGCGGTGCCCAAACTGGGATATTTTATCCAGAAAGCAAAAGATTTTTCTCTGAACAATTGAAAGATTTCATCCAAAAGTCTGAGAGGCTTCATCTGAAATATTTTGCACGTTGGCTAGAAACAAAGTGCTGAAGAGCAAGAGAGCACAGCAGAGAGCTCTCTTCCCCCTGAAAAAAAAAAAAAAAAAAAAGGGGGGGGGGAAAGAAAAAAAAAGGAGAGAGAGAGAGAGAAAGAAGTTTTCCAACCAACCAGGCCTAAAGCAGCGGGCAGGAGCTGAACTCCTCCACCCTGCAGGGCTGCTCCAGCACCAGGCCCAGGGCAGCCAGGGCTGGCAGGGGCTACTGGTGGCACCCACCCGTGTGTCTCTGTCCTCTCATGGGACCCTGTCCTGCATGGGGCCTGTCCCCTGTGTGCAGCCCTGCTCTGTGCTCCCCCATGCAGCCCTGTCCCATCACAGGGCTCTGTTCCCCGTGGAGCCCTGTCCCACCATGGGGGTCAGTCCCCTGCGCGGAGCTCTGTCCCTGTATGTGACCCTGTGTCCCACCACAGGGCTTTGTCCCCTACAGAGCCCTGCCCCCCACGGGGGTCTGTCTCACTCCGGGACCCTGTCCCCG